TGTAGTTTCAGAACATTTTGATTATAGATTTCAACATGAACTTTTTTTACTGCAAATTTACTTAAACATAAAAAACTTTTAAATATTATTTAAAAATAACATGACATTTTAATATTTTTAAATACCTGTCAAAATAGCTTCATAGAATTCTTGAAACTCGCCTTTCCATAGAAATCAATTATTAAAAAATACAGAGAATTTTCCTTTAATTTTCACTAATCACTTTCCTTGCGGACAGCTGTTACAAGTTAACTAGTTAATACTAACAAAAAAAGTATTTAGAAAACAAAATGCAGCACAATTGCTAGACATTTTTTTATGAATTAACTGGATCTTCAAGCTCTACAGCATACCATTGCTTATTTCTTATTGTACTCACTTCATCCATATAAAGCACTTAAATTTATTTTTGCAAATATAAGTCAGCTGAACTGAACCAACTTGGGAAATGCTTGTTTCTGTTGATTGGTCATTCCTCCATATTCATGGCAAATGGCTTGCAGAAAGGCAATTCCATTTCAGTTTATTTAGTTAATTAAATACATATATATTTCTGTTTTAGAACTGAAAAATAGCTATAAAAAAACACCCAAACCAAAGCTTTAAAATGGTACTGTTGGCTGGATTTAAAAGTGAAGATTTAACTTATGTTAAATATTAATCTCTGTATCAAATATATCTTTTGGACTTAAGAGAACTGGATAGGATTATATAGTGAAAGCTAGTACTAACACATTTGTTGCCCCTACAAAAGAATCATGGGTGCATGCTTGAGTGACACTCAAATGGTTAATATAAACTTGGTTTCTCTATTGTCCAGTACACTGATTTTTTGTAAACTTTTTCTGTTAAGGAGTATCACTCACTTTAACATGACAACTATAAGCCTTGCCAAGGGATCACTTTCATTATGCTAGAAGCAACCAAGTATCGTCCACAAACCATGCAATGAACCACTACAATCTGACAGAGAAAAGAGGATAAAGAAGTAAATAGGAGGAAAATCACAGACAGGGTTACTAATACACATAAGTTTATGAAAAATTAGAAACCTCAGTACATCTTTCTCCTTTTATTTACTTGGTCTTTGCTAATCAATGGGATGTGATGAAAATTCAGAGCTTAGTATATCTGGAAGCTGTTTGCAAAACTACATAGCAGCTGTACAACCCTCAGAAGAGCTGAGGCTCGTTAACAGCCTTTGCCTTCAAAGTGTGATGTATTTAAAAACCTTTAAAATTAGTTGCTAGACCAATCAGCGAACAGCATCATATAATCCTTTAAGCATGTTGTCATTACATCATAATATATTTCAGGTACAGTTCTGCAGATTTTTATGTTGAGCAAAATCTAGTATCTACAGAATTTAAAATTGATCTGTACTTTTGCAATGTGTTTATATGTGAAAGAAGCAGTAGTCAACTAGCAGTCATTGTACTGAATTTCCAGACAATAAATGTTCTTTTTCTTCTTATGTGAACCAATAGATTGAGCTAGAGCCTGGAGCTTCACATTGCATTTTGCTTGTAAATGATTGCTGCTTTAAACCATTGGTTATGGTTTATTTATAGAATAACACATAGTTCACAATTAAATGCCAAGCTATAATTGAATCAAAGGATTCTGCTGATGTCCTTGACTCACAAGGGTGCAGCTCAAGAGCTTTATAAAGGGCAGCAGAATCTGAATAGAAATTACAGCCCCCAGTATTCAGTCTGAGATCATGCATTATAATGCATAATGTGACTAAAAGGATTATTATAAGACTGCAGTAAATAAAAAGAAAATTTATCAAGCAGCAGAACTGAGAAAGCTTTCACAGGCTTTCAGTTTGTGATGTGGGAGGCCAAAGATTATACTTCATGAGAAATAAGGCTACAGGAAAATTATTTTGTAAACACATTTATGTTCTTCAAAAAAAAATATTCTGAAGTTATTCTTAAGTAAAAGGAAAACATATGTTTCATAGATTAATCCAAAGTAAATTCATAATTTTCTTCTACATGGCTAAAATTGATTGATTCCAGATTTGACATAAATATTTCCTGGCATGATAGGTCAATAATTATGCTACAGAAGGAATATCTGATGCCTTATTGAATAAGCTTGGAAAAGTTAAAGTATTTGACTAGTATGGAAATAATACCAAAATGTATTTTTTCTAGAAGAAAAATTATCTTAGCACAAATATGGTTCATTTATCCAGATCCAGTTCACAAAGACAACATTCATTCCTTCATGAAAGAAACCTAGCTGATAATGCATCCATTTTCAGGCTAAAATGAAGGTTATTTTTTGGCAGAGATACCTTGTTTTGTTTTAGAGTGTTTTCTTAATAATTGGATATGGTAAACTCCTTAATTTTTTTTCCTACATTGCCTACCAATCTGTGATGTTATCTGGTGGGCTTCAAGCATTGACTCTAATCAATATGTTGTTATAGACATTTGTCCATCAGATTTTCACACAAGGTTCCTCACATCAGGCTGTAATACCCTAACGTGGTTATGGTAACCTTGCACAATCAGTGATGTTGTGGAAGCTTATCATATGCCTTCCACTGTGTTTCTGCAATTTCCTCTGATCCTCTACAGGTTAAGAGATAAAACAGTAGACTATGAAGGCATCGGTCAGATCTTAGGATGGAATTTCTCTCTTTAGGAGACTGTTCTTTTAAAGATCTTGCTGGAACTGCTAGTACTGATAGTCAGACACCTTGAGCTTTCTCAGATATGTGTTTTCAGACAAAAACTACTTGGAAAAGGGTGTGGAAATGTTGGTAGCTTCTTTTCTCAAATCTATCAATCTAACTAAATTAATCTAAATCAACCAAATCTAACGTAATGTTGGAATTCTGATAGATACTTACTATGTCAAGGAATATAAAAAATATTTTTAATATGAAGTTCAGTAAAGCCTGCTTTATTAGTTATATTTTCCATAAAGAATTTAATTCTTAACTGAATTCCAGTTCTGAATAATACAAATACAGTCAGAACATAGTCATTTTAACTTTTCTTGGATTTCTATTATCAAAGACTAACTGAGGTCAAAGGACATTATTTCCAAATACATTTTCAGTGAGCTGTAGTAAATACTTAAGAAAAATCAGAAGTCATGCAATACACTGAGTTTTGATACAGGCAAAAATACCTGATGAATCTACAGATTAAACGTTTGTACAAAGCAACATAGAGATCCATGGTGCTAAACCAAGACATTAAAGATAGAAACCATTGCTTCAGAGATCATGGGAAATTGAAAGTAAAAGTCTTTCTGGTTATTTTCGTTTTCATTTGAGTATTACTTTTCTAAAGGGAAATATCATAGAATCATGAAGAGAAAGAACAAATTGATTCTAGAAAAATGTGAACAAAATTGGTAATTAACATAGGAAACATACTAGGTTGGGCCAGGTATGGATTTATGGAGGGGAATGGGAAACTGGAACCCTTGCAATAAAACTGTGCACAGAAAACACATGGGTGAAGGAGGACTCTCCCTTTATTTAATCAAACTTTATTCCTCAATTTACCAGTGAGAGAGAGTTTGATTCTCCTTAATGATAGCTTAACTACTTTAGGAAACAGTAACAGAGACTTCCTATTTAAAGAGGTGGTAAGTAAAGATAACAGATTGTAGGAAGAGCTCTTATAGCAACTCAGAAATAAGATAGCAGCATATGGTATTTTAATATAGAATTTGATATATAAGTATTTGACACTGTCAATTAGGAAAATAGTGTGCTTTAATTATGCAGGACAATAGAAAATAAATAGATTTTCTATTTATAACAGTTTTATATAGAATCTATATTCTATATAAAATATATAAATATATAAAATATTTTTATATTCTATATATATTCTATATATATATTCTAAAATATAGTTATATTCTATATAAAATATATAAATATATAAAATATATATATTCTATATAGAATATATATTCTATATATAGAATATATAGAATATATAGAACAGTTCTATATAGAACTGTTATCAAAGTAGGTCTTTGATGCAGCATATTGGCAAAAATGTTCCTGTCTACACTGCAATGCAAAGAGTGTGCATTGCAGGGGATTATCCGTCACAGATGTGAATGTTCTTTTTGTTTGTTGAGGCTTATTTGGGTAGCTTGCAAAGCATCTGGGAACATTTGGCAGAAAACAAAATACTAACACAAAAAGCAAAAAAATTCTAAAGAACTCTATTCACAGTTAGATATTTACATTAAACATCCAATTTTCCAAAAGTACAGTAACCTGGCAAGTTTCATTGAGAACAATAAAAAATTATATAGTTCTCCAAAGTGTCTAATAAGAAACTGAGAACTTTTGATAGACTTGCACAAGGTGGATTTTATTTTTTTTTTCCTCCTTAGTCTTTATATCATTTTAAGGAATGAAGATGAAAGGACTCATACAAGTCATGTTTCCTGCATTTCTGCCATTCATAGATTGGCAAACAAAACAGTGACACAATTTAACAGCGTTTTCATAATTTCACATAGGTTTACACATGAAGAACCTATAACAAAATCTTTTTGTCAAGCTGATCCTGACACTGATGAAACCATACAGTGAACAGTCTGTTGAAGTACTCTCTTTCAGAGATATTAACAGTTAAAGAATACACTTCTCTCTCTTTGCCAGATTCATCCAAAATAGTATTTTACCACCAACACTTAGCGATCTCTGTCCCAGGAACAAGCTGGAGGACTGGGTAGCCTTTTTCTTGACTGGTATAATAAAAAAATATTTTTATCTATATCTATTTAACTTTTTCCAATGTGAATGAAATTTAATGAATCAAATATTTGAAAAAAAGCAAATAAGGAATTGTAACTGAACGTGCCAAATCAAAATGATTTTAATGTAGGCAAATGCAGAACATTTTTTGTGATGTTTACTGTGCTGCTGAATAAACTACCCTTCCATTATTTGTATTATGCTGGGCAGAGACAACATAGAACATTTTTTGACCAGCTGAGCTTACCTCCCCTTCTGTAGACTGCAAGTGCAGTTCTTTCCTACACGTGGCCTTTAAGTCTCCTGCAGCTGCATTGACTTGCACTCCCCTGGGTGCTTCCATCACCAAGGATCTAGTAGGAGATTCAAGTCTGAAAGACAAAAACAACCATTAGGAAAAAAGGCACTGAATCAAAACACTGAAAAAAAAACAACCTGGCCCTAAAAATTACAGCTTCACAGTGCTTGTAGATAGAAATGTATTTTGAAAGGTAGAGAAGTCAGTTATTTTACATGTAATTCTCTCACTGTTCTCTATAGCCCAGAGAAATGAAAAATGAGTCCGTGTTTAAATCTATTCCTATTTAGGACAGCATTCAGGCATATACTGATGTAAGGCTGTTTGCTTTGTGATATTTGCATGTATTCGTATGTAATTTAGTTGACTGTACTGATACTGAAGTATAGGTACTTAAGATTCCATGTGTCAATGTAAGTGCTACCGTAATGTCAGTTTAATAACCATAGTCTGCTTAGTGACCAGTGGCAAGGGTTCATCTACATAAAAATAAAATAAAATAAAAAGTTTTAAATAATAATATAATACTGATTAGAATGACTTTACCTTCACATGTGCATTTATATTTCAGGGAGGCATAGCAGAATTACGTACAAAGAAAAGGGAAAAACTATTATGCCTCTATTTTTATTTTTTTTTTTTGCATGCTCTTTTTCTGATCTGCAAAATACTCATTATGCTCTTTAACCCTGATATAATAGGGTCAAGATGCATATCACTGGGTCTTGGTATCTTTCCTCAGTGCAACTATTGGTCTACTCCTGTCATGCTTTCCTTTTCTTTCTGTAGTCTGTGCTCAAGATTCTCAGTCAAGCTTAGTGCATAATTATGATACCTTCACAGCTACGTTATTTCTCAGTAGGCTATAGATTTCTCTTGAATGGGAAATACCACTGCAAGGTTTTGATGGTAGTAGTACTTACACACTGAATAAGAAAGATGATCAGATGTATTGAACTAGGAACCAAAATTTTGGATTATGGTTGGGTTCAGACATAAACTTAATGCATAGCTATGTTAAAAATGAGATGAATCTTTTAATCTATTTCTATCTCAGTAATATAACGACAGAATACAATTCCACTTTACCTGAACATAGGCTTTTTGTAAGATAAAATATATTCATAATAGAAATAGCTAGGATAAGAGGCTTGAAGAAGACAGTGTATTTCACTCTTTAACAAATTGTATTTTTAATATTAGGTCAGATCCATCCAAAAATAAAATGAGGTACTAGGTATGTTATAGATATGAATAGTGTAACAAAGAATTTACTACTGAAAAGCCAAATGAAAGCTCGGTCAGGCAATGGCCCAACAGAATTTCAGTGTCTTTCAATTACAGTGTGTTTTTTTTTTTTTGTTTGTTTGTTTTTTTTTAAGAAGTGTAGTCATGGATTATTTTGAAATCAAAATGCCCCATTTGCATGAAAAGTCACCAATTCTGAAATATTTCTGTTTGCTACATGTCACTCACACTCAATGGGATAAAAAAAATAAAAATTATTTGGTAGCACTAAATCAGACTATTAAAAGCAAAGTTCACATAAGAGCAGAACATTAATTGTGGGTATCTATATATATTAAAAAAAAGCATACATAGGAAACATACATAGGAGCAGCAGAGAAATATGTATTTTGTACATGTTAAGCCTTTTTCCTTTCTTTCTTTTTTTTTTTTTTTGACACTGTGTAGGGAGAAGTTAATAGAAATTTTTTGTTCTTCGTTATGCCAGTGAAGAATTGAAATATAATAAATTATTTAACCATGAACATCAGTGTTTTTCAGGTGGGGGTCTAATGTGAACTTCTGATGGCTATAAGAAAGCAGAATTAAGTAATTAATAAGTTAATTAATTAATTAATTAAGATTTTCCTAAATCTTTTAGCAAACAAATGCATACGCTGGATGCAAAACAACAACAACAACAAAATAACATTCAAAGAGAGAGCTTAGTTTTCATTTGATTTCTGTGGCAAGTATTAAAGAATGCTGCCCCTTACAAAATAACAGATAACTCCAATACAGAGAAACAGAACTGCACATCTGATTTCCTCTTACCAGCTCTGATTTTTTACCATGGCCATAAATCAAAAACACTTAATTATGTACAAATTGCGTATTGTACAACAAGCATTGTTTTGTTGTGGTGTGTCTAAAATGTGAGTTTGAACTTTGCTGAAAGGGTGAATGCAATGGAGAAAGCTGGTAAGTTTGTTCTATGAGAATTTAGTCAATGTAATCCAGTCAGCATACAATTTTGAACTGCACAGATCCTATTTCAGTAAACATAGAGTAATTTAGCACTCTAATGAAACAAACAAACAGACAAAACCAAACCAAACCAAAACCAAACTTACCAAAACAAAACAACCAAAAAACCCACAAACAAACAAACAAAAACCACAACAGGCATTTAGATACTGTTCCTTTCCTTACAGAATGTTTAGAAATTAGGTTTTTGAAAGTACTGTGTTGGCTTCATGAAGCTCTACCTTCAATTTCAAAGTAAATTGAATTGCATAAATAATAAATGATTAGATACTTCTATTCCATAATTTTCAGCAACATACTTTTGTGATTTATGAACTAATTTCCCAAATTCTTAATATTTCCCAGTTTTGGCTTCCATTTTGTAATAATGAGGATAAAACTGTTCTTTAGCTACATTTATTAGATCAAATTTATGCCATAAATTTTTCTGTTTTCATAACATCCAAATCATTCTTAGACCTGTCAGAAATTTTCCAGCAGGAGGACAATAAAAACCCATTTAGGAATGTCATTCAATAAACTATAATTTTGTTTGAATAATATTTTTTTATTCTTTTCAAAACACAACAGTGTATAGTTGAATTGTTTCCTCTAGTTTCATCATTGTTTTTCATGAACTACATTAACTTAAATGACTTCCAATTTGTCTAAAATGAAGACATTTGGAAAACTAATTTCTGAAATTGAGAAGTTATTGTTTATAATATAAACTTATAGACTTATAGATACTCCAGAGAAGATGTTTCTTTTTCAGGCAGGATTTTTTAGCAATTTCCTGAAATCAAATAAATTGTTAGAAATGTCAGTGAATGGTTGATGATCAGAAAAGTAGTTCTAAAAACACTACTCATCTATTAGTAAAACTGAGCACCTGCATCTGTTTTACAGTTACTAATGTTTTTTTCTTCTCATTATTCTTCAGGTGATCTGCATCTCAAAAGTGACTTAGTTGTGCAATCTACAGTGTGCTACTGGAAATGCAAAAGCCTATATGATGAGAAATTATTTCCTCAATGTTTTGAGATAAATTATATTTGATATGCAGCTTCTTTATATTTTTGTCATATTTCTGAAAGCTTTAATCTCTATTTAAAACTTATTTTAACACTGGGCATTCATCTGATATTCATCCATCCAAGAAAAACTGCATTATTAGAACAGCATACCAAAAATTTGCTTTCCTTTCAGATTTACTGATGGCCTGTCTCAGAGGCATTTACTTCTGCAAGTGAATCCTATTTATACAATATTTCTTCCTGAAACAACAAATAGCTATGATGGAGAAAGTAACTAGTGTTATTATTAAACAGAAACTACAACACTAGGAAAGATGAAAAGACTTTTAAAACAAGTTTTTAAATAATATAATCTGTTAATTCTCTGTCAATTCAATGTGATGCATACATATCTACGCAGAGTGGAAAAGGGCTTTTTTCTTTTTAATTATCAATGGTTAATATGTGAAAAAAGATGAATTTCAGAGGATCAAAGCTGTATGAATTTGAGTTGAATTCATTAAAGTATTATTGCTAAAAAAGGAAACTTCAAATATTTTGAATATATTGCTTTGAAGGTATTAAAATATTTCTCATCAGAAATGCAGAAACATTTATTTTTCATTTGTTAATTTCTGTTTACAAGATGACCTAGATTGTATTAGAGAAAAATAATTTTAAAAAAAAGTAATTTTGGGTTTTAAGAAATATTTTAGATTTACGTCTTGCACATCCCTCAAACTCACAGGGGATATAATTAATCTATGTTAATTTTTCTCTGTTGGTTAGCAAAAGGTATTTCCTAAAATAGAAGGCAGTAGAAGATTCCCCTGTGCAAATGTAAATAATTTATTTGTTTCAAGTCTATCCAGTCCATGCTATTTATTAAAATGACTAATATGAACCTCTAGAAATCTGGAATTTATAATCAAAAAGGAGGATTAAAAAATATGCTGCCAACTAGAGAATGAACAACAAAGCAGGTGTCCATTTCCTCTATACTTCTATCTTGACATTTAAGGGTCAAGAAATATATCAATACTTCGAAGTATTTAATTTTTACGTATGATGAACTTGCCAACATACCTTAGTGTTTTGATTTTTTTGTTTGTTGGTTGGTTTATTTTTCAGTTAGCATAGAAATCCTAACATTAAAAATATATATATATATTTTTTTTCAAATATAAAAACATGGAAAATCCACACATTGACTTAATAACTCTCTTGTAAATTTCTTTCAGTTAAAATAACTGTGAGACTACTACTCTTCTAGTCTTGTTTACTGTAGGTAAAGAGCTGTGGTGGATTGTGGGACGTGCTGCATAGAGGTAACACAAACAAAGAGAGGACACCAAGAAAAACCTCTTGTCCAAAACTCTACCTATCCCTCTTCCTGCTTCTTATTTGTAAAAGAACACTCCAGACCCCAAAACACCATAGAATCCTTTTCTCCATGAAATGTATTTGTTCCAAATTAGAATTAAGATTTTTTTTTTCAAAATAATTTTGAAAATGTAGTTTTCCAGGCCTCAAACAATTTTAAGTACTTTTTAATTTTCTTTTTTATTATTATGAAAAGAATGTCTGGTTGTCCTAATGCTCAAGGAAACTTTGAAGCCAAAAAGAGTCATTTAGTAAGACCAAGAGACCCTGTCCACTGAACATTGAGGGTGTTGGATAAAATTAGGATCTTCAGTCAGTCCATTTTCTGGAAAGTGTGCTGCATACTCCAAGAACGTATGCAAAGGATAACCAGGGACTTTTATGACCATGGTGACAAAAAACTTAGAAGCCATTTTTTATT